TTATAAACCATCTGAAATTGAAGAGTTCATTCATAACCTGAAGAAGCCAACGTTTCAGCCAAGACATGAAACTCACGAAAACATTGTGATTAATATCCGGTTCTCCTGGTGCACGGGGTTGATTGCTGGATCGAGAGGCAGTCGCCGGCTTGCCGGCCGTCGTGGCTTCGTCATAGTAGTCGGCGTCCTCAATGTTGACGTCGTCATTCGGAGGTTTTTCTTTGCTGCCATCACGTCATCATTCTTCAGGTTTTTCTTTGCTACCACCGTCATCACCTTCATCCTTTCCTCTGCCTTGGGAGCGACGAAGACTCCTCACTTCATTAGCTTCAACTTCCTTTGGAGGTGTCTCCTCGCCACCGCCACCATCATCTTCAGCCGTCTGTCCTGCGCTGGAGCTCCGAGAATCTTCTGGTTCTTGAGTAGTTCCACCTTCAGTGAGCCCATTCTCTGCCTGAGTGTCCTCCGGTCCTTGAGTGGGTCCACCTTCAGTAGGTACACCTCCATTCTCTGTCTGAGGAAGCTCTTGAGTGGGTTCACCTTCAACTGATCCACCTCCATTCTCTGTCTGAGGATCCTCTAGTCCTTGAGTGGGTTCACCTTCAGTTGATCCACCTTCATTCTCAGTCTGTGGATTCTCTGGTCCTTGGGCACCTTCAACATCTGACGTCTGAGCTGGATTTGTTGTAATTTGGGCATGGGTCAAGAAGCATGCGAACAGTAATACGATTAATTCAACCTTCATCGGTAAGCAATGATGTGAAAATGAGACCGATTGTGCTGATGGAGGTACTCCAGAATTCCGATCGTGATCGGAGAAATGATACGTAGTTCAACACGCGCGCGATAGGTCACTTAATTGTAATACGGTAACCAATCTTTGAGGACAGTTTTCACGATTTTTAGCGCAGTAAGGCAGCGTTCAGAGTTGTCGATCGTGAATGTGAGTAGACGACCAGTCTATAAAGGAAGGGCTACGCATCGATTAGGCGATCAGACGATCAGGTGAATAGGCGAGTAGGCGAGTAGGCGATCGAGGCGATGTGCAGAAACTCAATCGCGTACTCGCCTAATCGCTTACTCACCTAATCGGCCAATCCACACACACATTCTCTTTCTAAATCATCGCCTAATCGCATGTACGGTCATCAACTCTAAACACTGCCTCAGAGTGGCATCTCGGACAAAGAGCTCGATAAAAGTGTTCATAAGCTTTTACCACGGATCAGGCGTGGAATGCGCCATCCACTCAATATACTTACCCTGGCCTTCCTTCAAAATGCTGCTTCCTAGGTTTCCTAGTCGGCACCTCTTCACTGTCGCAGCCGAATGAGTTTGATCATTCCCTTTCCAGAGGTGAACGGACGAGTTGTGCCATGGTCTGCCAGTATTTTTTTCTTAGAACTTCTTAAACTTTCAATTTAACAAAACCTCCAACTTCTATACTATACTTGATTAATGGCCTGACGTTTGGACGAGATCGCTCAAAGGCCCGGTCCGCCACCGCAAGAGCAGAACAGCATAGCCGAGGTAAGGGATGGATTCTAAGTAATCTAATCTTGAAATTGAATCAGTAACTATACATATACATATGGAGGAATATTACAAAAATAGGAGCATGTGTCGCTACTTAATGTTGGACCACGGTATAGGGTCAGCCACTATACTGGGAAATTCCAGGAAAGCACAATTTCGAGGACTGGCAATCTGGGCGGTTTCGAACGTCCGTCAAGCAAACCCACGGGAATGGTGGGGGAGGTGGGTGGGAGGGAGGGGGGAAGGAGAGAGGTTAAGGGCAGAAGTAAATGTCAGGAAAATTCCCACCTAGGTTGCAGAATCATCCCACCACCACAAAGCCATTTTTTTTATCCCAACTCTCCCGAAATGCGGTGCGTTGCAGCTCTCCTACTCAGGATAGGTGCTTAAAATTGTGACACACTCATTCGCTCGAAGGAAGCTTAAAATCAAGCCTAGGGGCAATCATAGGCTTTCGCATAAGCCCAAGCCTAAGCCTCA